ATCACCGTGGCCACCACTTTTCCGCGGCGAACTTTAATTATATTCGAGGTCTTGAAACACGAGACCGGCCTTCGCTCGGATAAACTGCTAATTAGCCGGGAATGGGAAGTTCCGGCAACTTCGTTTGCAGTTCGGCTTGATTGGGAGTCGACTCTACCCGCGTTGTCGTGGCTCTGCCAACCACGGCCAACTTGCTCGAGCGTCTCTCGAATAAGAGTTTCGAACTGCGAAAATCTTTCCGTCGCTCGTCGCTTTCGTGGAAACGCTGTTTTTCATAGAGAATTATTCAGAACGACGCGTCGAATCGTTTATCGTATCGCGATTCCGAAATGAAAGGTTAATCGCTTGTTAATTATTGCGTAGGAGCATTAGCAAAATGAGACGTTAAATGATTGCTCGACGTTGGAATTATTGATAACTTGCCAACACGTTGCATTAGGCGGTGAATTATATTTTCAGAATGTTAATAATTCCATCGATAATTAAGTCAATTATCGTACGAAGAGCATTGTCGAAGTTCAGTATTCATTGCTTGCCGTTCGACGCTCATTGTCAGCCGCGGATTCTCTTCGATTCCCTGGTCGACGTCGAAGTCATTTCGACTGACGTTTGAAAAATGCACGAGTCGAGCGTGTCCGTTGGCCTTGATCGAACGATACACTCGTCGAAACGAATTCCCGGACAGCGACAGGAAATGTTCGCAGTTGAACGTGTTCGAGCGTGCCTCGGAACCGCCTCGCCGGAAACGCTGTCATATTTATATCCGACGAGGGCCACGGTCCCGCGAACTTTCCACCCACAGAGACAGTCGGATCGAACCAGCCGAATTCTCGCTGTTCCCGCAGACCGTGATCATTCGGCTGACTTAAATAAACGTACCGGAAATAGCTGTTCCACCGAATTCTTCCGCGGCTAAGCGGAATTCTTACCGAAACCTGTCTTCTCCTTAGAACTTGTTGGACTCGAAGAATACTTGGTGCACCGATGGCTACCTCGCTTCTTTGTTTCTACCGAGAAAATTATTCTAAGAAGAAGAAACAGTTCGGCGGAGACAGTGGACAGATTCCGAAAAGAGATTTAAATGGTATTCTCTGTATTAAGTGAAAGTAGTTTTGGTCGGCCATTAGTCAGGCACCAGGGCACATCTCCAAGGAACGGCAAACACAAAATTGTCTCCTCCAACCCACATATCGCAGATTTAATCACAGAAGTTACAATAATAGTAAACACCACTCAAAGCATTTACGCGAACCCATTTTGCGCCGTTAGGCGCGTAGTAAATGCATAAAAGCGATTCGCTAGGGAGCCCGGCGTAACAGTCGCGCTTTGCTTTAATCGTAAAGCGAAGGGACAATGGCGGCTCTGAACCCTGCCGCGTTCAATGGAAATTATAGAAGTTGTAGTGCGTGCGGATCCGCCTGGAGCGATCCATGGCGCGAATTATCGCGATACGGACCACGGGATCCACTCGCGGCGGATGATAATACGCGCAGGGCTGGACGAGCCCAGTATTCCCCGGCATAAAGGTTTACGAGCCTTTTCTAT